TCCTCTACATCGCGAACAGGAGTACGATAAACCAAATGCTGTAAATGGCCCCAAATAGAGAAATCGAGAGGATTGAGATCCGGGGATCGAGCGGGCCAGTTCTGTGGTCCTCCTCGACCTATCCACTGATTTGCATATGTTTCAGACAAATGCTGACGTGCTACTTGACTAAAATGGGCGAAAGCTCCATCATGCATAAAAAACATATCCCTTCTGATGCATAAAGTAACTTCCTCCAGCAGTACTGGATGCACTTCTCTTAAAAATTTGACGTATGCCTCACCATTTAATCGAGGAGGTAGAAAATGAGGCCCAATTAAATCATACCCAATAACTCCGAGCCACACGTCAAGAGAAAACTGTTTTGTATGGTTAGTTTCGACAATAGCGAGTTATGTGAAGAGATTTTGCAGACTATCCAAGGAAATGCAGTGCTTGCAGATTCCCACCCCGGATCCAGAAACGATTATCATCATAAGTTTTTATTCATTCATTTTGCAGATCTCGATGTGAGAAGTTCTCTAGAAATTTATAATGTAATTTTGAATAAAATAAATTGTTTTTAAAAACGGTTTTCGACTTCAAAGTTACTTAACTAGCGTGAGGCCTTTCATCAGCCCATATGTGGTAATTATGAAAATTATTAATCTTGTCCCGAAAACAACTACATTCGTCTGTGAATTCTATAATCTTCAGAAAGTCACAATTTCTTCTAATCATTTCCAGTATCCAATTGGGTAACAGTGCCTGTACTCGTTGCAGATGATAAAGGTATAAGAGTTGTTCCTTTAAAATTCGAAATACCGTCATATTATCAACATTTAGCTGGAAAGCAATCTTTCTAGTACTGGTAGTAGGTTGTTCTATATACAAATTTTATGTACCCCCTTTAAGGGGCTGTATCTTAACAAGGGATGCTCCAATGAAATTTCTTTATATGAAAGATCCTTTTTTTTCGATGAGAAATCACCTCTCTAAATGTTTTACACTCATTTAGTTACACCCTGTATATTGGAGCAACCAAAAAGAAGTTGAGTCTCAAAATTCAATCACCTGGAAAACTCAATCACCTGATTAGGTGTGACTTTTTACAGTCAACACTATAAAAATAATTTATAGAAATGATCTTGTTTGTGTTACCTTATAATCCTAATGAATTGACTACTATTATTTTAGAATATTAGAGTGTATATTTTATTAGTGTGAGTATATTTCGGAATTCACATTTATTTTAGTAAACTGAGTTTTTTTTTCTCTCCAAAATTTAAACGATGACTGCAATGTATTTGAAACATCGACATCAGATAGATGCCTTCAGCACTGACAAAATAGTGCTGTCGTGGGGTACCTTGCAAAATTATTGACGCTTTGAATGTCACGCTTCAGATGGTTTGTAATAATATAATTCTGTTATGAAGTGTGGATGAGAGTGGGCTATAATTATTTGCTGTGACTTCCAGGGTGAATTATTGATTGTCAGGGGTGAAAATACTTTCTCGTTCTTGTCTAGTTTCTACTGTGTTTATTTATTCGTTACGACCGGTTTCGGCTTATAAGGCCATTTTCAAGTGGCATTGGAAATGGCCTTATAAGCCGAAACCGATCGTAACGAATAAATAAACACAGTAGAAACTAGACAAAAATATTTTCTTTATTCTATATAGAAAATACTTTGCTGATCAGTGAAAATCCTCCCAAATAGGACCTTCCTGATCCAAATAGCACGATTATTTCAGAAAACTCACATGAGTTCCACTTGATATTGATGCCACCGTACATACAAATATAATTCACCCACATATGGTGTGGGTTCATTCTTATGATTTTTCAAAATATTTTATTTACCGGGGCCTATTCATCAGAATATTTCAATCTTGTCATTTTTCATAATCTTCTGCCGGAATATTTGAAGCAAACTCCTTAATTTTATATATTTTTTATAAGTTATCATTGGTTCCAATGAGAAAAGTTGCATCGACCCCTTCCGAATGGTAGTTTACTCCCTTGATGTTTCATAATATTCTGCCGGTGTCATTGCCACCAATGAGAAAAACTGTTGTCAACCATCTTCAAACAATAACAACATAATGAGAAGGCAGATTAAAATATGGAGTTCAATCGAAATATTCCGATGGGAAAGCTTTGGTCACAAAAATATTTTTCATAATCACAAGAGTTACTATCCTTATATAAGAGTGCATTTCAAGCTTATGTACGGAGGCATCAACATCAAGTGAAACTCGTGTGTATTTCTGGTCTGGAAATTACCTACACTCGATTTTTAGTGGAGTATTTAAGTTTCATGAAAATCCGAAAAAGTTTATGAGGTCGATGGCTGTACTATATGAAAATAACCAGTATTCACCATTCACCAATATTTATTTGAATCAAAGTGGATAACTATGAAAATCGTAGCTCATATTGACATATATGAATAGATTCTCCGGCGCAGAATGAAAAAAAAATTAGAACCACTTTTTTCACACACTAAAACACTTCTTTCGACATCTACCTCACCAATCAAAGTATATTCAAAGAGCAAGTTTTCAAATGTATTGAAATGTTTTCAATAGATTGATTCAATCACCCAAAACTAGGTAACGTTTCGAATGGTCCAGTAAATAAATAAGTAGGAGATTTGAGCCGGTTCTAAGCCTCCTCCCACCACTGTGACGTATTAATTGCCTTTTTTTGTTGTTTAGTAACATCAAGGTGATGTGACCTTGAAGTGTCTGGTGCATGGATCATTCAGAATTTTTTTCATATGAGATTTTGAGTGTGTGTGTAATGACGTAATTACATTTGGTTGGTGTTTGTGTGTGTGTGTGTGTGAGAGAATGCACGATACAGGGTTTCATCATGTGCTTGTCTATGTACAAACATATGTCTGCATACTTCAAAGATCCTCCAAGTAATGAATGTTCCATCGATGTGAGGCCACCAAGTTAGTAGTGGTGTTACGTCACAGAAGCAACCGTTCGACGGTAGGAGAGCGAGATGTTCACTCCACGACGTGTGGCTGAGTAATGCGTATTCATCGATGTGCCCTTACCTCCCTCGATGTGGCGATGGCTATGACGTAACGTATGGCTCTACCCTCGCTCTCGATGGTGACGCGCAGGCGACGAGGACTGTGGTATTTAAGAAGCGGGTGAGAGTTGGTTATGTCAGTTTACATCGAGTGAGTTAGTGAGAACATATCATAGAAAATGTATTCTTGTGACTGTGGTAAATCTTTTACTCATAGTGTAAACCTTCGTCGTCATCAGCTCCAGAGTTGCCAAGGAGTCCATTAGTGAAACGAATGAGATCAGATGACGCTGCAACACTTATGTACACATGTAATTGTTGTTATGTGACGATTCCATTGACTCAAGTGAATTCTCACAATAGAAGTCTGCAACATAAGAATAATGC